GGAATTATATTTTATAGAAAAAAAAACAAAAAGTTAAATTAAAATTATATTATTTTTCATTTCTGTTAGAGGAAAAGGGTATATGTCAGTCATTTATTTATAAGTACGTATATGAGTCACTTTAGAGATATGTCAACTCTAAATGACCCTTTTCCCTTTAAAATATTATTTAAAGTTGAAATATTTTTACTTTTGGTAAATTAAAAGATAGACAAATCTTTTAGAACGGAACAAACAGTTAATGGTAGAATTAGTACTATAACAGAAGCATAATTGAAAGTAGTGCGTGCAGAGAAATCACGGGTGAGCAGTAAGTGTACATTGTACTCGCAAGTACGAAATACGAACCTTACTTTTTCAGAAAGTTTTCTTTTTTCTTTTTGGTTTCTAGTTTCCTTTCATTTTATTCCGTTATCATCGTTAAGATTTATAGTTGAGTGATAAAGTAGTTTTTCATTATTAATTAAAATTTTTTAACCTTGAGTCCCCTTTATTTACGAAGTTATCTTTGTTAGAAAGCGTTTCAGCCACCAATTGAGATTTTTCGATGTCAATTCGAGTTCAATCAAATCCAAATATGTGTAGAAAAAAAAACTATTTGGTTTAATGTTTTTAAAAATGCTTCTACGAGGTTTAACAGCAAAGCATGCACTCCTTTAGTAAATTAGGATTCTTTTTGTTTAGAACAATTATTTTGTGATTAATTATTTACAAAATAAATAAGTCAAAATATTATCTAAAACCTCAAATCAATTGTGAGATAACATAATTTTTTATATTTTATCTTTACCTCACCTGGAACGACTTTTTTATAATACGAATTAAACCAGACAACATCAGATTTGACCTGTATATATCACAATTTGATCTTCCTGTCCTATTTTTATAATTTTAGCAGAATCTTTTCAGTCCTAGGTTACCAGGTTTTTTCGTGTAAATCTATACTAATAAAATTTAACCAACTCCAACTACCAACGTAATTGATTCCTTTGGTTTTGTCTCCAATACTTATGTTAGTCCGTATTATATTTTTTCGTTTCAAAATAAATTGTGTTTATTTTAAAATTTAGATGCACCTCTTAAAAAAATGTTCATTTACTAACTTATCGTTAATAAATTATCTTGAATTAGTAATTTCATGATCTAAGTGAAAGAGTTGGTTTTGGTTCTTGTGGAATCAAACTAAATGGAAGATGAATTAATATAAATATTTGGTAGGAAGATAATTAGTAGGAAATACAAGTCAAAGATTGTATCTTGGTAGGTGAAAGTTAGGCAAACCATATAATGGTTTGCATTCTTAACCTTGACAATTTTGACACATAGCGATGTCATGGATGACATCAATATGATGAATTTATTCCTATAAATAGGTAGCTCTTAATTCATTTTCAAATTATCCTTTCACTTGCCTTCTCATCTTCTAAGACATTGTGTTCTCTCTTGTAGTATTTCACTTATATTCTTTGTATAGTAAAATAAATATTGGTGCGGTTGTTATTTGGTGGACGTAGAATCATTTTGATCCGAACCACGTTAAATATTGTTGTTCTTCCTTGTTCTTTAGTTTCACGTTTCCTCTAACACTAAGTTATTTTAAAATGGAGGGAATAATTTTTTAATTTTTTTTGAATTTTTAGAGTCCTAGGTAACGGTTTTGTTTTTCGTAATCAATGCTAATACTTAAACAGCTTTAACTACCAAGTTAACTGATTCCTTTGATTCGGTCCTTAAAATCGACTAGTTTCGTTTAATTTTAATTGACATGTTATTTTTTTTTTGAAGTTAATTTGATTAATTTTTAAATTTAAATTAAAATATATTAATTTGATAATTTAAACGAAAAATTTAGATATTCAAAAATTATATGAAAACTACTATAAATTGCATTTTTTTTTGCATATTATACCGTTCTTATAAATTGACTTAAAAAATAGAAACCATGAAAATTAAAAATGGAAGGAGGGAGTATGTTAATGGAATTATATACTTCTTCTATTCATTTTTAGTTGTTTAATATTGATTATACGTCTCTTGAATAATAATAAATAGAATGATATTTTTTTCTACATCATTAGATGATAAATCAATGCTTTGGGAATTTCATTGAAAAACGATTATAGTTTATCGCATGATTTTTTAAATTTAGCAAGTAAAAATGATTACGGACAAGTAAAAATGGAGTTGGTAGTACTTATGTTTCATTTAAATTGACATTTGCTTGGCATTTCCTCATAATAAATGAAACACCTTTATTAGAATTACCAAATGGACCACATTCCTTGATTAACTACATGGGATTAAAAAAAAAATACATTTGATGCTTTATTTGGAGGCCAAAAAAGGCTTTATATATGTTGTATTGGTATTGTTGATGACATACCAAATACAACATTTTAGAGGTGGAAGTTGATGAAAATGATGTAGTTAATGTAACTAGATTGAGACTTGAGTTATATAAAACTAGATTATGATTCTTATTCTGATTTTCCTTTTTCAAAGTGGTCCTTTTCCTTTACCAACATCAATTTGCAGAAAAGTTGTTATCACACAATGAGCCCCCCATCCATTAAGTTCAATATGAGCTCCACACAATTAAATTAAATCTCCCAAACAAAAAAAAATCTTTCAATTGGCTCCATTAACAGAGGAGAAATCCTATTGTGAGCGTTGTCCCTAGAATGAACCCTGTTTAAATTAGTCGGACTCAAATATATATATCAAACACTAGATGAAAACAAAAAAATAAAAGATAATTGATCAACAAAAGATTGACCTTTTTCACTTTACTTAATTATCAATTTCAAGGTGAATCTTAATGACTCAGTTGGTCTACTACACTAATTTCATCTTGTTGATGAGAGTTCGATTCCATCTCGTTCTCCTTTTCCCTTTTTGCTAAAGGAAAGAACAGGAAAAAAAATTCGGCAGTTTCAATTGTTGTTAATTATAGGTGCAATTTTGTAACAAGAAGAGGGAAATGCACATGCTAGAAAGAGATATAGTAGCTCAAAATGGATAGTACTGAAAACGAGACTCAATAAAACTAGGTGCTATAACTAAACAATGAGTATGGATCAAGAAAACCAAAGTATTCCACATCACACTATTACCATTTCAAGTGAAAACTAAAGCACATTTATTTTTTTTGCATATCCCTAATTATAAAAGAATAAAAGCTTACATACTCGTAAGGCCTACTTAAAAAAAAGAGTTTCGTATTAATTGAAACTGAGACATCTAGTTAAGAATATGAGACGTTGATTGTTAATGGTCCATGTACTAACCGGAGCACGGCGATGTGTACAACACAACAATATGATATATGTGGGGGATGATGGTGACCAAAGGGTTCCACATAGCACATGGAGGGCATGTTACACAAATATGTTATAACTAGACAACTAGTACTACTAAAGACAATACTGTAAGGCCCTGCCCTTTCTGATTTAAGCACCAACTACTTTCAAACTGCCTTCTTTAAATTACTTCACACATATGTTCTATTTCAATAAAGAATGTGTCTCACAAAATTTGAACGATTTTTCTTATTTTCTTAAATATCGTATCAAATTAAAAACCAGGTAAAGATACTGGCCCACTTCCAGGACCATGCTTCTTGATATTTTCATCATACTATAGTTTGTATAAATGATTAAACTTGAGGCTAAGGAACTGAGGGTACGTAGTTTTAAATCAAATCTAGATCAAATAGGGGAATACTGGATTGCCAAATGGATCATTCTTTTATTTTAAGGATAAATTAGCTAGGTAAAATCGATTTAAAATAAAATGTTATAGATCATGATCCATATAAAATCGATCTCCAAAAGCGCGATTGGACTATCTGAGGATGGTAAACCATCAAACATGGGTGTTTAGACAAAGACAGAGAGCCCAGAAACAGGATTGTTAAAGTAGGAAGTTTCGAGGAAATATAGACTATTGGATCCATAGTACAAAATCAAACATATTAAAAATCATGATTGTGCAAAATTTAAAGATAAGGATATCATGTATGGTATGTATGCACTATATGCAGTAACAAAGGTACAAGATATCAAATTGATATGTTTAAAATCCACCAGACATAGCTATTCACAAAATTAAGCAGAGTAAGTAAACCATCATCTTATATTATAAACCACCCATACCTTGATGTATCGAAACAATCTATCCGTTCAAATAGGTGTAAGGTCTGCGTACGCACCATCATCGTTAGACTAGTTAATGATAGTCGTACGTACTACACACATATATTTTATGTATTGAAAGGTTGCTTATATTATATAACTATCCCACTTAGATCAATTACACCCATGTTTCAATTATTTGTTTTACTTAGCTTTTTATTTAAACAGAATTTTTTTTTGGGGACAACTTTTTAATTCCAATTTTTAAGTGTTTAAGATCATAAGATTAAATAACACTTACTATATTCTTCATATTTTAATTTAGACACACAAAATTAAAAAATCTTTTATTATTATTTTTTAATTTGTGTAAAGTTAAAATCAGATAAAACAAATCAAAACGGAGGAAATAATTGAGAAAAATAAATTGGTTTCTTCAGAAACAGAGAAAAATTAGTAAGCATGCAGAAAAATTGAAAATATAAAGGGATGCCAAAGTAAAGAACTTTTACGAATACATTATACATGTGCTTATTTAATTGAAGTGGGACAATTAAGTTAACATCAATCCATTTAATTTATTTGCTTAGTGAATCTTTCAAGTATTTCACCTTGAATCCCCCAAAATTTTCTTAGTTTAAAACCATTCTTAGCCCAAAGCATTGATTAAAAAACTAAGTAATGTAATTATATATGTTATTGCAAGATCGCATATCTAGATTCATTAAACAAAACAATCAACAAATTTTACTATTTAGATACAAAATTTATTTATCGCTTATTTCTATTTTAATCCCATAATAGATTAAAATAATTGGTACCTTCCTTCATAAATAGCTTTCACATTCTCTCTGTTCCAAACACCACAATTTCTTTAGTTAACTTCTCTTTCTTCATTCCACTAAAATTTCCAACATTTTTTTGAATTTCTTCAAAAAAAAAAATGGCCATTAGAAAATCAAACAAGCAATCACATTCTGCAATTTTGAAGCAAATAATAATAAGATGTTCGAGTTTGGGAATGAAACAGGGCTACGATGATGAAGACTATCAATTTCCCATCGACGTACCAAAAGGACATTTTGCAGTTTACGTTGGAGAAAATAGAAGTCGATACATCGTACCTATTTCTTTTTTGACTCATCCCGAGTTTCAATGTCTCCTTCGACAATCCGAGGAAGAATTTGGGTTCGATCATGACATGGGAATTACAATTCCATGCGAAGAAGTTGTGTTTCGGTCACTAACTAATTCCATGCTCCGATATTAATTCAAAATTAAGTGAATAGTAGCTGCTTTTTTTTTCTTTTTCTTTTTAACATCTATTTATTCGTTTTTTGAATTTTACTGTATTTTGTTGTTCTGTAATTTTCATCTAACCTGACCCTAGGAACCACATTATATAATTTCGTAATGTTTTTTATGGGTCAGATTCAGATTTGTAAAATTAAATATTGGAATTTTTTTTTCCTTACAGTGGTGTTATTTTGCACCCAGTGAGAGAAGAGAATGTTTTGTTTGTCAATTTATTTTCCATTTTTTATATATATATAAAATGTCTCTCAATCAATTTGCTCATGATTAATTTTAGTGCATCTATATCTGGGAAAAGTCCAATTGAACATATACTGAAAGTGGTCTGATTTGTGATCTACAATACTTAATTAATTATGTTCTCCAAATTTGTAGCCACATGAGTAAATAGTATTCCAAATTAGTTGTCATGTTTTTTTTTTAATTTAAGAATTGAATAATATTGATTAATATTTTAAAATATATTTTTAAAATCAAATTGACACAGGAAAAAGTTTTAACTTCTATAGATTTTGAATATTTAAATTTTTTATTATAAAATATTAAGTTAATCTAATTCAATTTAGCTTCAGATATTATTTATGTTTGTCACTTGATAAGCCACACAATAATAGTGCATCTATTAATTATTTTATTTTTTATGCTATCATATAAATTTATAAAAATGTAGATATATATGTAACAATTTGTTTGAAAAATTGTAAAATTTTCCAAGTTAATTTATGAGATAATATCCAAGTACCCCTCTCAACCTATGCCTGAAATCCCAGAGACACACTTATACTATACTAAGGTCCTATTACCCCCTCTCCGAACTTATTTTATTAATAATTTTTACCCCTTTTTAGCCTACGTGGCACTATCTTGTGGGCCCAATGATAGTTGATTTTTTTTCAAACTAGTGCCACGTAAGATAAAAAGGGGTAGAAAATTACTTATAAAATAAGTTCAGGGGGTAATAGGATCTTAGTATAGTATAAGTGTGTCTCTGAGATTTCGGGCATAAGTTGAGGGAGTACTTATGCATTTTCCCTTAATTTATTGATGGGTAACTTCTTGTATCTTGGACGATGATATTGGTACGTAGTTGTAATTGAATTTGTTGAAATATTAGAATTAGTATCGTCGAAGTATGAAGGTGTTGGTTGCCTAACTCTTGAACAAAGCCTATATAATCTTGTGCCTTAAAAAACAAAAATAAATAAAATACATTGTAATTGAAAATGGAAAGAGCCAAAGAAAATGAGTGTAGCAAAGTAGTAATTTTATAGTGGTAACAATGATTCTTGGAGCTAAAAAAACAAACGTTCAGATTAAGGTTTTTTATGCCACCTATGGAAGTGACTAAAAATTAATGGTTGGGTCTATATGGCAAGGCTGATGAGGGCTAGGATGACTTGATAGATCGGAGTCACGATCGAATATGATATTTATTTAGTAGATTTAGTTAAGAAATAAAGTCTCGTTTTTATTATTAACTATAGATTTTGACATGATATTGATAAATGCTTGATCCTAATAGAAGGGTTAGAGCTACTCTTTCTATTGTAAATTTGTCAGACTAATACTTTCCTTTTAATATATTTTAAAAAGAATACATCTTTTCTAATTTGAAGATCGCAAAATTAAATGATATTTCAATATAATAATTGTACACATATCTTTACTTTTAGATCATAAAATCAGAAAAGTCATTTACTGTTTAGTTTTAAGATTTTAGGCGAGTCAAACTAAGCTAAAACGAAAAGAATATATTATACGATTTATTTATTATATGGACTCCGTACAGCTGAATTTTCCATATTCCAAGTGTAAACAATAAACAACTAAAAATACTTCTTTTGAGAATATATTCTCTCATTTTTTAAAAAAATAATAATTAAAAAGCGCATGTAAGTCAAATAATGCTAATTGACTGGAAATTTCTTGTACTTAGAATTAATTATAGACATATTCTTCGAGGAGTTATTTGATATATCTAGATATATGGTAGTTATAATAAAAATATTATTGGTATTATATAAACTGATGGATCTTGAGCAAAGCCTAAGAAATCTTGTCTGTTTCTTTTACTTTATTAATACATTGGTTTCTTAATCAACAAAGATTAATTAGAGTCCAATTCTTTTAATCCTTTATTTTATGCAACCTATGAACTAGAAATTCGGGCGGGGGGGGGGGGGGGGGGAGTACGTACGGTAAATTCATAGAGCTTTGCTCCTCTCCTTC